AAAAAAAACATGAATCGATTCTCTTGCGGACATATCGATGCATCGGATCGTCAGCTGTTGGATCCATGCATCGATACAAAAAACGATTATTATTTACACCCCTAATATAATGCCTGGAACTCGACGCTATTTCTGACATTTTGACATTCCTGGATGGGAAGCGAAACGTCTTCAAATTTGTAAACAAAGTCCAGTTGATTATTTTTTTACTTTTTGTTATTCCCACATGTCATGATTAATCAGCTGGGTCGGGTGGAGACAGTCAGGTGTCCATCAGAAGTGGACACAGTTGTTGATGTTTCCTCTCAGTGGCTGATGGATTTCCGTTTTTCTCTCCACCCTTCAGAGAGCGTGATGGAGAGAGATCGCTACATGAGCCCAATGGAGGCTCAGGACTTTGGCCTCATCGATCGGGTCCTGGTCCATCCGCCCCAGGCAGGCCAGGATGAGCCAGAGCTGGTGCAGAAAGAACCACCAGCAGCAGCAGGCAGTCCGTCTCCACAGCCAGAGTCTGCAGCCCCAGATCAGACCTCCATCACCACCAACCCCCCCTCCTCATGTAAACCAGAACCTTGAACTCTGCAGCAGTCTGATCTTTGATCCGACGGGCTCTGACAGCAGAACCAGGCTGCTGTTTGGTTCTTTAGCAGTTATCTCCTCCATCGCCTCTCTGGTGATCGGTTCACTTTTAAACAAGCAGACTTTCCTCCCTATAGTGAATGAAATGATCCTGCAGGCCTCAGCAGGCAGCGTTCAGAGAGAAGCTCACTGATCAGAAGGTTTCTGGCTGTGAAAGACCAGGAGCTCACCGAAAAATATACAGGAGCCTGTTTCTCTTTTCTTCAGGTTTCTAATAAAGACGATTAGTTTGACCTCAGAGTGTCTGTTACTGTTTTAACTTAGCCTTAGAAAGCCATAAAATCATGTTGAATTAGATTGTGGGATAAATTGAACAACTGACTCTTATTTGTCCTCAGAGAAGCTCAGCAGTTAAATCAACCATTGCAAAATAAAATATATGAAAAAACTGGAGGGAATGAGCGGAGTCCAGGCAGCAGAGGCGACATCACTACTTACATCTTTTTATTTAAACTGTTCTAAAGGAGTATTTCTGAACGAACACTTTGAAAAGGGAATCAGTTCAGTTTAAATTCAGGGGGAAATTATTTCATTTAGTGAAAACTTTAGATAAAGAAGATGAGGAAGGTTTAAATCTCCTGTTGATCCTAAATTGACTTCTTCCCTCAGTCCATCCAAACTCTCCATGTCAGGGAAGCTCGTCTCTTTAAAGGAAAAGTCCGTTTACCAGGGAATAATCAATGGATCAATATTTATAGCTAAAACTAATATGTTTGCAGTGATTTAATGAATTTAGCATTAATCAGTATAAAAATCTAAATAATTTTCATCTTGATCAATTCAATTCTGTTTATTTATATAGCGCCAAATTCACAACACGTCATCTCAAGGCACTTTACAGTTCAACCAGATCATCTAGTCAAATTGATACAAAGTTTTCTATCTAAGGAAAACCAGTTGATTGCAT